TGAAGGCGGGCCTGAATATTCGTCAAAGGCCAAAATTCGACACTTTCATATGTGGGTATTCAGGCTCTTGCAGCACACCAGTTGGTTGAATGGACGCACCAGTCTCGCTAAGCTGCGTCGTACAGTTGGCCCAGGCCTTGACAGTTGTCCCCGGGCACATACACAAAGCAGGGCCGATACATTGAGAAGCAGGCCATCGGCCTACGCAAAAGCAGTACTGTCGACGCACCTACCTGGGAGCCCTGCACAGATGCAGCAAACAGCCCAAGTCTGGAGACTCAGGCTGTGCCCAGCTGTAAAAGGGGCCCAGGCCCTCAACTGCAGTCTCGGGCCTGTGCGCAAGGACCGAGGCCCAAATGGAAGCTACGGGAAGCTGGAAGCTTCCAGCCAGGCCACACGCAGCATCCAGGAGGCTGCCGCTTCCATAAAAGAGTGAGGCAGCCCAGGCCAGGCATTCTGGCCTGCGTAGGCAATGCGGAAGTGCTGCTGCGCTACCGCTTGATGCTGCGCTGCGGCCAAGGGCGCTGACGGGGCACGTTGAGGTGAAGTGGGGCACTGCAGGGCAGCGGGGCGCAGGCAGCCATAGCCGGGCTGCTGGCCGCCAGGGGGCAATGCGGGTGATCTGGTGGTCTTCAGGGAAGGAGGCAAGTGTGGGGTTACCAAGGTCTGATTAAAGGTAACGAGATACGTACCTGGTACATAAAGAGATGTCGGCTACGGTGTTGACAGTCATGTACATTGGTCTTCGAGAGTCGAAGTGAGCCTGTTAGTGAACCAGCTGTAGGTAGGATAGTGGGGTAGAGTAGGCTGGGCGTTGGGCGCCAGACAGAGAGGAGCGACTTTGGATACTGTGTTGGTGTAGCCTATGGGCTTGAACATTGGCTCACTACTTCATTGTATTGCTCTATATGGATGGTTTCTCGGTGCATTTGGTACTCTCTGCTTGGACACGACTACCTGGACATCTCTGTGATTTCGCAACTTGGTTTTCTGTATATCGTTCACACTCATATTCCTTGCATATGGACCACTTGCAATGATTCACAAGTCAATCACCCTCAACCTCGCGCACACATGCGACGAGCATCCAGATGAGTGGTCACATTTGTAAGCAATAGACGAGACACAAGAAGTGCACAAGAGATGGGCACGCAGAATATCTTTATTATACAAAGAAAATGTTCATGTCTCTTGCGCTAGCTGCCGCTCACACAGGCTCAGACTCCAACCAGGTATGTAACTACCTACAGCTCTCTCTCTCTCCCCCTCTTCTCTCCTGCCTTGTATCGCTCACTCTCTCTCTCTCTCTCTCTCTCTCTCTCTCTCCTGCCTTGGATCGCTCCCTGAATATACCCGTAGACCTTGGCAGCTACGGCCGCCCTGCTTCCCTATCACTACCGTAGCTATGGCTGTCATCGACAGTCCCTTCTTCTTCGAGCGTTGTCTTGCCCAAGTCACTTGGTCAAACAAGCAGCAACAGCGCTTCCGCAACTTCACGAATGAACCACTGTGTCCGCTGCTGCACTGTAGCAGCTAAATATAGGAATTGGACTTGGCTTGGCCTGCCTCAAGACGGTACTGGTCATCCGTGGCCTCTGCTGCAATCATTTTGTGGGTCTGGTAGCTTACAGATTTTCCTGGGACTTGCTGCAATTATGTGGACTTCCGAACTCTTTCCTGGGGTATCGGACTGGCTGTACAACGACTCAGCCTTCCAGACTTTCTGTCGGGTACCGGAGCAACTGCACATCCACCTGACCTCTCCGGATGCCCCTATTGGCCTATTGGGCCTACTCTACGGGAACCACGAACTTGTGAGTTCGAAACTTCCAGAATCTTGGAGGGTTGGTGCCGAGAGCAGGTTAACCGAGCACCCATTTTTCAGGCCCATTTATAAGAAAACCAGACAGTCATTTTAACAACACTTCACACCAATCTATAGAGTGCACTTCTGACGAGCCCATCACAGAAAAAACCCCTAAAAAAAGCAATTAAAAACATATAAAACAGCAAGCCAAAGGTGAACTCGACCAATTTCAGAAATTTCAGAAATCTTAACAGCGCTAACCCTAAAACTCCAAATAACCCCAAATTTCATATACGGCAACCCTATCAAAATGCATATATAGCAAAAACTTGAAAAAACATGAAATTTGAGCCAAAAACCCTAATTTCAGAAATTTCAGGCCTGAAAACCAGATGCCTCGTTAACCTCTTTCAGGGGTCTGCATCGTGAAATCCTTTCACACTGGGTAAAGGATTTTGGATTACCGAAGTCCATAGTTAGCAACAGAGATATCAGATTTACCAGCGAGTTTCGACAGAAAACCGCGGAGCAGATGTGTCCCAGTTGCAGATGACATATGGGAACCACCCAGAGACTAATAGGCAAGCTGAACAGATGAACCGAGTAGTACAGCTCCTGCTCCGGCCTGTACAACAAACCTGTTCATAGTACCAAACCTTAGCCACCTAATCAGCTGCACTAAGGACGGAAGGCTAAGACCCCATTAGACTTCCTCCTGCCGGAGACTCGACCCACTGCAGCACCAGGTAGCATTGAAATTGTCATAGAATATGACAAAATGCTGCAGCAAACAGTGGAGCAGAACAGGAAATCTCAGGATGCCATGATAGCATCTGAGAATAAACGAAGGAGAGAGTCAGTTTCAGGCAGGCAAATGTATCTGGGTTAAGTCTCTGGAGTTCAGTAAGGAGGTAGACATTTCACGCAAGCTGACGCCAAAGTATTTTGGGGCGCGGCAAGTTCTTGCCATCATGGGTTCAGACCCGGATGGCCCGTTGTACATGATTCGCATCCTACCTCGCCTACGTACCTACCCAGTCTTTCATGCCTCCAAACTCCTACCTTTTACAAAAACTGACGAGTTTTCTTCAAGAATATCAATGCGGACCCAACCATGGACAGTTACGTCGACATCGACGAGATCATGGAGCGTAAACTAATGCCTGTACCCAAGCCAGTTGGCAGAGGCAGACCGCCGAAACCCCATTTACAGTTCCGGGTCAGATTCAGGCACCATATATGGATGCTAAGGGAACTAAGGGCTTACTCAGAGGACTTCCGAAGCAAAGGGGGGAGAGAGTGCAAGGCATGAGGCCCTTGGCCTAGGTTGGAAAGGGCCTGGGCCCGCTGGAAACTGTATGCACCGAGCCTAAGCGAAGGCGGGCCTGTATTGAGGCCATTGTGAGCAGACAGGGTCATGTGGATTGGTTGTTGCACGCAGCATCTCCAACCGAACGGTAAGCGCAATTGGTTGAAGGTGCTAAGTCCAGACAGATGCAGGCCCAGGGCACTGACAGTTGAGCCCCAAGCAAATTCTGGAAGGGCCCTGGGCGCAGCTACTGGGACAGAGACCGAGCATCCAGAGACTGCCTTGTCCGACCAGCCAATGCACCAAAGGAAGTGAGGTCTCTCACTCCGACACATTCTGGCTGGCTGGACAGCAGCAGCACTGGAGTGCTGACTTGGTCGGATTCGGGCAGAGTGACAAAGGGCGGTGGCGGGGCACAAGAAAGAAGCTGCGTCCGAGCAGTGTGAGTAAGGCAGCCATAGCCTGCGAGGCTGAGCGCTGGTCCTTGGGTGAGGGACGATGTGGATGAATCAAGGGCTGAGCAGGCCATACAGGCACTTACCTGGTGCTGATGCGCTGATCTTCATAAAGACCAGTTGCCATCACGTTGGAGTCTAGGTGATAGTTGCTGTCTGGTTGTAGTCTGCGCACCAAGCGCCATATAGACGAGCAACGTTGTGAACATTGATGTTTGAGGAGAGGAGAGAGCTTTCAGTGTCAATTGACTTCAGTGCTTTGCTCTTATTTGGTGTATCTCATGTTGCAATCTTCTTTCAGTTCGCGCACATGATTATCTGGATTCCTGTGGGATGACGCAATTTGGTCTCTGTCATTCGCTTTGCTCATTTTCCTTGCAATGATGGAATTCCAATCTAATTTGCATCTCAATCTCTGGAATGAAAAGTCATTTCACAAAGTATGCAAGGAGTTGGACACGACAAAGCCCCAATGGGTGTCTTGGTGCTAATATTAGGATTAAAAAAAAAAAAAAACGGAGAGACACCTCAAAGAGCTTTGATGTCATGCAAAGGTCCCAAATCACAACTTGGGTGCCATGATCCCTTCCCACACTCAATCGAGCCCACCATGAGAAATGAGTACATTCTTCCAATTACAGTTAACACAGTTTTCATAATGCTTGACTGATCTCTTGAATCCTTTCAAGTAAGAGTGAGTTAAGGAAAGACAAAAAGAAAAAGACGACTGAGGAACGGGATGGACTCTACGGGTACCCGTTAATAACAACCTGGAGAGATTTTTTTCCCGCTAAGGAGAGACAGCCGATGACAAGGGACGAGGTCTTGAGACAGCCACTACTCTTTACCCTGGGTCTAGCAGACCGGCAACGGATGCCCTGGACTCTCACATCCGGAAACAGCAGGTGCGGTGCACGGCTGGAGAAAGGAGTGTGGCAAATTAGACTTGTGGCAAGGAACAAAAACGGTGTCGATCCCACACTGAGCTAAGGGATGCCCTGAAAGGCTGCCACAACTTGCAGGAAAATATCAATGAAATGCTGTTATCCATCCCTCCAGAATGGGAGGTGCAGCTAAAAGCGTGTTCTGGATGTCGAACGGGAGACCGGGCCACTTGGAAAAATGAAACAGAACCATCCACAGAGAGAGAGAGAGAGAGAGAGAGAGAGAGAGAGAGAGAGAGAGAGAGACATCATGAACAAATGGCTCTTTCATGCACATCATTTGAGTTTCCCATCCACCAAGCCAGATCTATGAGCCCCAATAGTCATAAGGACGGTAGTAATGCCATCATGATGATATCCAACAGCAGATAGCAATGGAAACCAAATTTGTACGTGAGGTCACCTCTTAAAAGTAACAACAGAAGCAAAAAGGAAATGAAAAAGGGAAGAAGAGCCAGACCTCGAGCAGAGTAAATGGCTCTCACCTTGTCTAGGGTGGTGGCTAAACTCTGCAACCGAATGGCATACGTCCCTTCTGCCTGCACAAAGAATTATAGTCAGGATTAACAATAAGCAGCATGATAAACACCAATCAACATGCTAGCTTCTTTCCGCAAACATAATGCCTAGGTATTGTATTTGAATTTGAAAACAGAAGGCTCTCTCTTAGATTTCGGTTGATGTTCTTACAAATAGAGCGATCTTTTCAGCACAGTGCCAGGGTGTCGTATAACTGGACATACCAAACTGCAGAGTTTGGTTCCACAACTGCAGAAAGCAGGTAATATATAAGACAGTTACAGTAGGTTAGCTAGACGTTTGGAATTGGAATATCCACTTATACAATAGGAGCAGCATTAGGAGAACGTGGGACCTGAACTATGCATTTTATTTCCTCTAAAAAAAGGGAAAAAAAGGTTGTGGAGGTTAACTTGCGGAACAGTTCAGAAACTGCGGTAAGGGGGCGGAGAGAGAGAGAGAGAGAGAGAGAGAGAGAGAGAGGAGCTCCCAGCCATAGAGGGAAGCACTCTGGGAATGTGTAACATCGTATTCAGATGACTTGCTGGTGAGATACGAGCCAGAGTAATGGTCCCAATGGCAGAAGTTACAACTATTGGAGTAGAGAAGAATTTCAGAAGCAAGGAGGTTCAGAATGGGGAACCAAATGTATTGTTTCTGTATCTTCCTGGATCTAACCCGACACGGAATTGGCTATGGGAGAATTTTTCCGAGACAGGCCCTCTCAAGCTCAACAGACTGGTGCTTTAACCACTGCAGCCATGACACACGGTGTTGAAATGTGGAGCCATGCCAGTGCCGGTACCCACCTCACCCCTGCACGCCTGCAGTGCAACAACTCACTCTTACACACATGACACCCCTCAAGACCACACACGTGGTTTACCGGGGGTAATTTTTTTTTGCCGAATTTTTTTGCCGAATATTGCACTGAAACTGTCGTATTGCCCTGATTTTTTGCTTGTTTTTTCTTTTTCTTTTTGTGTGATACATATGTGGGCCCATATCGTTCGTTTTTGAAAATTTCGCTGAATTTTCAATTTTTGCAACGAAATTGCCAGCGAAAACGTTGGATTTACGGCCCTCTGTTAACCGTGTGTGCAATCCCAGTAGGTTTGCGAAAAGGGTTTTGGTGAAAGGGAGGAAGGAGGAGCACGTCCCAAATGCAGACTTGATTCAGAGCACACCACGAGTGTTGGATGCAAAAGAAGAGCAGAGAGACCATACAAAGACTCAAAAACTGGAGGAAGGAGCCACGAAAGTTAAGCCAGAATCTCCATACAGGTGGCACAGGAGTGGTCAGGGAAGCAGAGGGAAGAGTTAGAGAAGTGAACGGCAGTGCTGGAGAAATGTGTAGGATCACTTGAAACGGGGACAGTAAGCCTTGGAAACAATCGAGAGAACAGTCGAAAAGGGCAACTCACATTCGTAGAGAGAGAGATGGTAGTCAAAAAGATGAGGATGACATGAAGGCGGATGAGCAGTATACATGTGATGTAAAGCAGTATAGATGTGATGTAATTGGACGGTGATGAGCTGCGACTGACATTAACAGGGAATCATCAGCAATCCAGAGGCGATGGATGTAAGCATGTTAGAGAACAAACCTGATGCTCTGCATTTTCACGAGCAGCATCATCGTCTAAAAATGCGAAGGATTTCTTCTTCTGCTTTGCATTCTGCTTAATCAACTCCCTCGGAAGTGTGGCCTTCTCATAATGAATAAACTGAGCCTGTCGATTGACAAACAGCAGCAAAAGCAAAGTGCAAGGAGACATGTAAGCCCTTACCCAGGCTCGCTCACACTGGCAAAGCGCAGAAGTGATCGTAAACATTCCCAGGACTGAAACATTCGCAAGGGAGCCAATTTAAAACACACATTTCATGTACGGGAGGTCTTCCCGTTGAGCGTCCTGCTGGCTGAGCTTACAACATACACAGCTGTGAGGGGGAGGGTCGCCGAAGGACTGGGTACCATTGGGAGTCTCCCGACTTGGAATGCCCCGCTCTGCCTTGGGTGTGTCGTGGGAGCGTGATTATAGCACTGGCCGTCAGGGTAGGGCCTGCCTATACCTCAGCCTGCACAACCTTTTATTATTAAAAAAAAAAAAAAAAAACATTTCTCCGCACTCCCCCAGTTCATACATAGCAACAAAGCCTTACATGATTATGTGGGATTATGAGTATCCCACAGATTCGCACTGTAATTCCAGTAACTTTAAAGCACCAGCACATGGCAGCCTGGGCCGCGGGCCTGACACCTCGAATCTCAGAAGAGTGGAACGAAAACAGGACCACCGATACTATTTATCAACGGCAGGACCTACGTTCGACGTTTCGGCCTCGTTTTCTTGTGGCGACAAGTTTCGGACTGCAGGGCTGGGGCACTGTACTAGGAGTTTACAGATCAGAGGGCAGACATCACCCAAAGCTCAGCACCACTGATTGCAAATAGGCAGCTAAGATCTGCGACTTCTCACGAGATGTTGCAAACATGCAGGCCAGGATGCCACAGGCAGACTAAATATCTATGGCACACACATGTCACCGTTCCTCACTGACATGCAGGTCCAGATTCTATTGAAACAGACCGCAGATCTATTCCGTTCTTATTGCTGAAACAGATAAATACAGTTGTAAGGAACACCCACCTATGCCTAGACCTCGGTCCCCCGCCAAGAGGAGCGAAATCTGTCATTTGGTGCAACAAATCCCTCTTCTCACCTCCAATCAACCAATGCAACAACAGAAGTAACAGTTACCAACTCAATTATGAACCGATACTACTGGCTACCGTAGCCTAATCATCTACTAGCCGCAGAGCTCTGCCCCACTTGTGCCAATGACCGGCGAAGAGTCTTGACAGCAGTGGAGCTCTTCGTGCCGACCACCAGGTCAGTATCCGCCAACCTCCCTCGGCATTTGATACATGCTCAGTTGAGCGATGTATGTGGAGCCAAGGATCCGCAAAGTGATGAAAAGGACTCAAATGGACAATGCAGTGTCCGCAAAGCATCAACAAGCACTGTACATCCACATACATATGAAAATAGCACAACGTAGCGCAGCGGAAGACTCAAAGATATGACCTGACCTGTCAGATACCGACGCGACACCCCATCATACACCACACATATGAGAGGAGAGGGACCGCATACATAGACGAAAGGTCCCTCCTTGATCACGCCCATGGGGAGATGCCACGGATGAGGAGATGGGGTGGAGAGGCGAGACAAAGATGGAGATGAGGGAGAAGACCAAGATCGCGATAGCGAAGTCCAAAAATAGTCTCCCTGCCGAATGTCCAATCAATGTCTGCCACAAAATGCCGAATCAGATCCTGGATTCCTGGGCCTCACGGCCCGATGTAACCTCTGCCCCTATCCTCTCGTTCTCCCTCTGAAAGGAGGAGGAGGAGGAGGAGAGGGAAGGAGGAAGAAGGAAAGATGGAGGGCGAGAGCAAGAAGAAGAAGAAGATGTCGTCCTCCTCACTGCCTCACCTGCAGGCAACTACCGCCATGTACTAACTGTTGCCGCGTGTCTTCTCTGTGATGCAGGACACTGGCGTGAAGACCAGCTATGGCACCTAGGTAAGATCTCTGCCGATGCAGATATGGCCTCCGCCTCACTCCCTACCTACACCTCTACCTCTAGCGTAGCGCTGTCATGCTGCTCCAGCAGCGTTGTCTGGCCCAGCTATAAGTAGCGCTGGGCCTCACGGGTGTGCCTCCATGTGCCTCTGGTCCTAGGCCAAAACATGGCCTGCCTGGGTCCCTACCGGATCTCCAGGCCCTCCCTGCTGATGCAGCAGGAAGTGTCCATAACTGGACAAAAAACGGACCTGGCCAACAGGGCCTGCCTACGTCCGTACCAGGCCAAAAACGTGGCCTTGTCCAAACAAACCAAAAGTTTGTTCGGACGAACTGCAAGTCCGAAACGACTCCTGAACAGACAAAAATAGGAAAGCAAAATCTGAGCAAATAAATAAATAAATAAATAAATGCTGCCTCAAATCGAAACCTGCGGCCCTAAGGTCGGCCGTGGGCCTCCAGGACGTGCGTCTGAGGGGCGTGCGGCCTGGGGGCCCCCAGCAACCGTCGGGCCCCCACAACATGGGACCCGTGGGCAGACTCAGCATGTAACAGCATTCCTCAGAACCCAAGGACCTCTTAGTCTCCGCCAACCCTTCTCCTACACAAAGCGACCAACGAGCTACTGTGCCCACTGCCTTTCTCAAAAGGTGCCCACCACATGCGCTGCTTCTCTGCACAGTTGCACATAAGGGTTTTTGCTGCTAGCACTGCCATGACCAGCTGCGACCAGGTTGACTCTTTCCTTGTGCAAAGGGCTGTCTATTGTCTGTTTTCAGGGTCCTCGTCTGGACCGTAGGGACTACCTACCAACCCAGAGAAGAAGACAAACAGCAAGCCTTGGTGGACTCTAATACAAGGAAATGAGAGCACTGTCAATCACTAGTTTTCAGAGAGGGTTAACGAAGAGGAAAATTTTCTGATTTCTCTGAAGGCGGCACTAGTATTCAGAGAGGGTCAACGAAACGGCAAGATTTCTGATTTCTCTCAAGGCTCTGAGCCCATATCACACGGGGATGGCAGCACGCAAGCGGCTCAGGAAGATTTGAAGGACCATTACCGAGAAGGAAATACAGTCCCCTCTGAGCAGCTGTGGACGCAAACAATGGGGACTGCCTCACAAGTCATGCAAGAGGCGAACGCAACAACTAAAGGTGCCGGTGATCCAGCCGTACCTTCCAGTACGGCTACCTTGTTACGACTTTACTCCAGTCACTATCCCTGCCTTCGTAATTGAAGGTTAGGGTAACGACTTCGGGCATGGTCAGCTCCCATAGTGTGACGGGTGGTGTGTACACCGCCCGGGAACAGATTCACCGCCGTATAGCTGACCGGCAATTACTAGTCCGCCTTGATGCAGGCGAGTCACTAGCCCTCAGTGTACTTATGAAGTGGGCAGACTCCTTAAGTTCTTTTGAAACTCTATAGCCGCACCACACAGAGGTCGGCAAAATGTAAGGACGTGGCAACACACGGGTCAGGAAGACTTGACGGACCATTGCCAAGAAGGAAATGCATTCCCCTCTGAGCCGCTGTAAACACAAACAGTGGAGATTGCCTCACAATCCGTGCAAGAAGCGAATGCGACAACTAAAGGTGACAGCACTAGCCCTCACTTGACTTGTGAAGTGGACAGACTACTTGGTTATTTTGAAACTCTGAACTTCTGAAGCCAGACTGCTTAGTTCTTGTGAGACTCTAAACTTCTGAAATACATTCCCCTCTGAGCAGCTGTAAACACAAACAGCGGGGATTGCCTCATAAGTCGGGCAAGAAGCGAACACAACAACTAAAGTGACGACACTAACCCTCCGTGGACTTATGAATTGGGCAGACTACTAAGTTATTTTTCGGACTTTGAACTTTGAAGCCATACCACACAGGAGTTAGCAAAATGTAAGGACATAGTAAGAGGGTCAGAAAGATATGTGAAAGCTTTACAGAATGAGGAGAGTACAAATGAAGCAGAGCTCGAGCACTACCGTCTTCAGCCGAATAGAACGCCCAGTCATGATAGCTGTATTTGGGGTGACTTTCAGTCCAGATGCAGCGATAATGACCGGGTGTTTTATTTGCGTGAAGACGGTATGAAGATCTGTCAAAGCGTTTGGTGGATGTCAAAGCGTTTATCGTCAACATACACCGCATACAAGAGGCATAGAGGGAGCAAAAAGGGTATGCGGGTAGCAACGGGGCTATCTCAGTCGGTGCACCGACAAAGTGCTGAAATGCAGACGTGAGTTCGAATCCAGAGACTCAGAGAGAACTACATCCAGGGAATTCCTGACTAACCTGTGGCCGGTCTGTTTCACAATGATGTCTCAAGGCCGTCGCCCTTTAAGAAAAAGAAAAAAGAAGAGAAAGGGAACAGAAGGAAGAAATCTTAAGGAAAGAAAAAGAGAAAGAGAAGAGGAAAACAACGAAAGGAAGAAAAGGGGAGGAAAAAGAGACAAAGAGAAAAAAGTGCATGTGGGTGAGGAACACAAAGAAATAACACAGTACCACATTAGCAGCATACTTGACTGCCCACGAAGGAAGTCCACTCAGCACAGAGTCCCTGAAGCCAGCTTTTTCAAGCTCTCTTTTGTCGGCTAGAGTGATGGGTTCTCCACGGCAGGCTGACAGCAGCAGTTTGTGTCTGTCCAAAATACTATGTTTCTCAGCAATGACCTGTAGACAAAGAAATCCCAGCAGAAACTGTGCTTGTCAGCAATGAGCTGTGGACAAAGAAACCCCAACAGAAAAAACATTAGTCGTCTTATGAAGTCAAGACGCATGTGTTGTTGCCCACCTGTCATGCATGTCCTTTTCCCTCTAGAGAGAGGAAAGACAAATAAACACAGACTCAAAGAGAAAGCACCAAATCAAGGTTGCATTTGAAAATTTGGATGGATTAATTAGATTCCAACTGTCCCTATCTATCATCCCTTCCCAAAAAAGATGAAAAAAAAGGTTGGACAATGTACTCATCCCCAGTGGCTGCATGGTTTACACATCTGATTAACGCATCATCCATCTCGGACCCATTGATCAAATCAAAGGAATAGAAAATGTTTAGGGGTAATTCTTTCATTAAAAAAGAAAAAAAAAACACAAAAGGATGAGATAACGTAGCAGTGCACCCCCCTCATGCCCCGCACTTGTTGGGATACCCCTGCAATGTGCCTGGGTGCTACCAGTAAGCTTCCCGATCAGCAGGGGAACCCCTGAAGAAGAGGTATGGCTTGGGGCTGTCTCTTATACACATCTAGATGTGTATAAGAGACAGGAGGTGTCCAGGGCTGCAAGGGCAAGGCCGACCCTAAATCTTGATTTTTTTTCTCCCCTTCTGTGTTGTGGAAACATGTTTCCCGGTGATAAGCAACTGGACTGATGCCCCCAAGAATAGAAGGGGTTTTGCAGTTATAACAACAAAAAAAAAAAAGATGAGATGACAACAATTTGCATGACCTCTTAAGGCCTGAAAGCATCACTTAGGGCGTACTAACACTAGAACTCTCGGGATGCATCTGGTCCCGTAATATCAGCCGGACCTGGACATATCTGACTGCAATTCCGTCTAGAAACAAGTAAAACAGTCATAGTGTGAGCATGCCCTTACTCGAGTTGAGAAAAGGCGGTCATTCCTCTTCAGAATTGCGAGACACTGGATGGAGAAGCAACACACCATATAACATTCACTGTTGCAATCCGCTGCGGTCTGAAGTACAAGTCTTTCCATGTTCCTATGGCTATCGCAGTACACCAGCTGCTAAGAACGATGGCCATCTGGCCACTTAATACGACACGATGCAGGGTCACACTGAGGTAGGATAGTAGGGATAGGGGCTGCGCTAGGAGTATTGACGTGAGGATGGTTGGGAGGTGGCCTTACCCCTGTCAGGGCAATCATTGGCTGCCCCCTGCCAGCAATCACTGTGTCTGGTCCTTGGCCTCTACAACACCCCGGGCTTTAAAGAGTGGGGGGAGAGGGGGGGTGGAGGGGGAGGAAAAAGGGGAAAAAAAAGGGGACAAAAAAAGAACCGACACAGTGCAAGGTTGTCTGGCAAATACTAAAAGAGGCAGTCGTTCCAAACACCCTTCATCACCTGCCACCTGACACACTCCTCGATCGACTCTCGGAATGCTCCTTCATGAAGATCCCAGTGCACCTCCCCCTTTCATTGTGTGGCCCCAATGCAAGCACACCAATTACCACAGTGCAACCGAACATTCATCTGTTGCGAACTCCCAATGCCCTCCCTCGGGTGCATGTCCTTGTCATAACCACAGCGTCGTCATATAAAAGCATCAGTGCAGAGCTTATGCTTCTTCTCCTCCACTTCACCAGCACCACCCTCCTTGTCTTCACCCTTTCCTTGGTGGGCATCATGAAGAGACATCAGCATTATCATCATGAGCGGGAATGTCAAACGATGTTGTTGTTATTCCACTTTTCTTCGTCTAACTTGCAAGGACTCGTAACATATCATGCAGTGAGAAAGATCATGCAATGAGAAAGATCATGCAGTGAGAAAACCATAACCACTTATAACCACCAACATCATTCTCGTCATCATCACCATCATTGTGTAATCATACATTATTATCATCAATATCATCGCCGCTGTTAACATTGTCGTCGTCGTCATGATCATCATGTTTACAATCCTCCTCCTTAGTGATAACACATCGATGGTAAGAACCGAGGCCATAGCCGCCATACAGCCCGTACCAAAAACATCACCATACTCGTATTATCATCCTGATTCGTGATTGTTTTTTGCCGATCCTTCTTCGAAAGAATCGAACTTCTGCACACCGATGGCCAGTGAAGTGGTTGGAATGAAACATTATTCATCTTCATCATCATCACCATAGCCATCGACCCTGAAAACACGAAGGTGTTCACAGACATACTAATCAACTTATCATCATAACAATCGTAATTCTCCTTTCCTCCAATGTCTTCTTACGGTGACCACTCCGTACTTTGACATGGCCGTTGGACTCGTACAGACTGGAATAGAGAGTGTCTGAAAAGATTGCCAGCATGCGATCTCATCTCAGCGGAAGGTTTCATGTCTTCCTTTTACTTTCCTCATCCTACTTTCTCAAACTTGGTAATGAATTCGAATTTCTCGATTTATGTGTGTCATCCTTGGCGCAGGTGCAATGCTAATCTTCTGTGTATCGTTCCGATTTCAAGTGATGTCTTGAAACTCTGCGGCCTGACTTCTCTATATACATTAACCTTTCTTTTGTTTTTTAACGGCAAACCAACCTCAGCATACTAGGCGGGGCGGTAAAAGTGCCACCCCATAGTAGCCTACCGCTGAATGTTCCGATCTGTTGGTGAGGAGCGGCACCTGCTGGAAGCCAGGTCCAGCGTCCCATTAATACAACAGTTCCAATGTCCTTGCAGACCATTTAACCTTTTTGTTCAGAAAATAAGGGGCATTGTTTCTTCTCGCTTTGATGGGGAAAATATTAAAATAATGCATTCACGTAAGAAACAACAACATTACATCAAAATTTCTCGAAAAAGAACAAACCAAAGCAGATCGCAGAAAATGCCCTTGCCTGTTTATAAGTCGCGGAGTTGGACAGATTGAAGAAACTACCCTTGCACTGGCGCATCCCACATAAACAGACTGCATTGTTGTACTCTTCAACGCTCTGTGAAAGTCAAGCACCAGCCGTAAGACGCAGCGTTGCTGATGATGTTCAGCAAAGACCGTCCACGCACATGAAGCATGTAGCAGTCACAAAATCATTGGGTGACCATGTGGATATACTGCATCAATAATGTGACCATACTGCCCACATTCTGTGCTTATAACAAAAACCAAAACTCCAATCAAATCTGCATTTCAAAAGCAGGAAAATGATTCATATGGAATCAAAACACTACCTTCCCCTCCCAAACACGACACCTGGTAATTATGAGTGCATCTTGCCAGGAATATGGCTCCCATGCATTCATGATTCCTGTGTGTTTTGTTCCGGTGAAGAAGGTAGCATGCCTCATTCAAAGCCAGCATACAAATCAGATGACCACTGTGTGCATCCTTCACAAGCAAAACGGTTAGGTTCCATGCAACAGTCGCCACGACAGTCAAGCAAGACTTCTTTGTAACCATCCCAATGAGGCGCACACCACACCATCTATTGCTAACATAGTTGACATGTATCCAGTCAAGATTCTGCGCTAACGGAGCATGAGATGCAATCATTAAAGGCGTTTGTTTGACAAGCAAATGATGGTCCACACCCACACAAACACAGGCATATAGTACTTGCTGGCACATTCAGGCGCAGACCACACTTGTGCCATGTTAAGGCTGAGTTAATTCATACCCATGAAGGCAGGCATACAATACCAGCTAGCACATTCGCACCTGGTCTGCAATAGGGTTAAGTTAAACCACCAGTACGTTTCCCAGCCCTTTTCTACGACACGGCTGCATGCACGCCGCGTCTGCCGGGATGAACCAGCGTGACATGTACCAGGATGAACCAGCGTGCCTTCACAAATAATATATCAGGCAAATTTTGTCGCATGCAAGGACCATTCACCTGGATGAATTTTTCGGGAGGCAGCAGGACGGTATCTCCCATCCGATACCGCGCGAACGCAGCCGCATCGTAGAAAAAAATGGCTGGGATCATGCCTTGTTAGTGGAAAACGGCAAGGGTCGGGCCTGACCCTATGACACAGGTCTAACCCAAATTACAGCATGCTTTCTGCTAGGGAACAAGCATAGGAAAATGCCACAAAACACCGCTACCAGCCAGGTTTAAGAAACGCCCTACACACTGTGAGTTCTGCTGTCACAACCGCACGGCGGGCATCATCCACGAACATAACATAAAGCGTTCCCCATCCACCAAAAAAAACGCAGTGCGGGTTACAATGAAGGGAATCTGCCCAAGCAGTTTCCCATCCTGTAAGATGCACAAACGCAAGCAGACCCTCTACAGCGTTCAGAGAGAAGTATGCTCAGGCCCAAGTCTCACTTGATCATGGTAGATCAACAATTTTGTTTCAGGTAGAGTTGCGGTTTAAAGTTTTAAAGTTTAAACATCTACCGGTTTCCGACGTCCAAAACCAAGGTGGGGAAAAAGCCCGTGCTGAGTGCAGATAGTCCGGCTGAATGGCACCTAGAACACTATTCGCCTATCCTTCATGACCGAGGGAAACACACTGCAGAAAAAAACGAACCGATCATCGGCTGAAGACAAAACCGACCAAAGCATGTGTTATACACTGCACACTGCAGAGACGATTCTGTGGAAAAAAATCTCCGGTTGACAAAAGGAAGTGGAGAACCTATCTGTTTGGGTAACCTTGGTTGGCTATGGGGCTTGTGGCTCGGCCAGCTAATTTCTATCCGAAGCGTTCAGTTTGAAAGTCCTCACGATTCGCTAGTGCCAAGGCGAGACCCATAAACAACCAGGTTCAGGAGTGAAAGCTCTCCTTTGGGGCAGAGAGAGAGATTCGCTAGTGCCAAGGCGAGACCCATAAACAACCAGGTTCAGGAGTGAAAGCTCTCCTTTGGGGCAGAGAGAGAGAGAGAGAGAGAGAGAGAGAGACAGACAGACAGAGAGACAGACACACACAGAGAGAGAGAGAGAGAGAGAGAGAGAGAGAGAGAGAGAGAGAGAGAGAGAGAGAGAGAGAGAGAGAGAGATCAGTCAACCTGAAGGGCCTGCATCTGAGTGTCATTGCTGGTAAGTGCGCTTTTAGTGGCCTATTTCTGTCCTGATTACGACACGAGCATTCACAAACGCACTGCTCGTTACTTAGCAGAGGCAACTTCATTTCCATTTTGCACCGAGCCATGTTTTTGGGCAGGCACATCCATGACAGCCCTGACCATAATTCAGCAGGCGGCCATTCTACAAGGTGTCCTGACACAGAACAGTGGATAGCAGGAAAGAAGGGAAATTACATGTGATTCTTTTTTTTTTGCCCCCCTTTAATTCCCTCAAATCGAGCTGCAGCTGCAGGGTTGCATTCTCAGCATAGTCCATTGCCTAAAGAGTTTCTTGGCTTCTGACAGTCCATCGCTGTTGTATTAGGGTGTCAGATTATTTTCCCCTTCTCTTCCTCTCCCAACAGCAACCAACAGCTGAGAAATCACGAAACCCTAATAACCTCTCAAAATACCTCCAATGTCTGCACGTCATGCACGATCATATGCTCCATAGATGTGAGGCTGAAAGCCGACCCAAAAAAAAAAGAAAAAATAAATAAAATTATCTGTCAAGCAAATCCAGGACTGTGGCCTGTTGGAAGGAGCTCTGAGGGCAGAAAGTATGGATCCACAATCACTGTGGAACCTGCGTGCAATTTAAGACCCGTGTGTGTGACCGGACAATGGAGCAGTGCGGCTCACGTGCTGGATTGGAGCGAAGTGTGCGACTACTGCCCCGTCCGTGTGGTGTTGTGAGTGTGTGTGTGAGTGGGTGAAGGACACTAAAGCCTTGCAGGGGTGAGATGGATATCGCGAACCGTATGATTCCACTTTTAACGTGTCCTGGCTGTAGTGGTTAAACCACCAGTACCTCACCCAGCTTGGAAAAGCCGACGCGGCCGTTAACGCGTCGCGTCGAGCGGGGTACCCACCCACGGATGACCGGTATTCCCCAAAATATGGGCAAGTTGGCAACCAAAA